CTGACGAACAAAAGGCGTCCTAGCGCTCATACAGTTTCGATGGACGGTCGAGTTCTACCAAAGAGCCATTCATTTCGGCTGGTCGGAGTCCAGATCACCGAGGACCTGATCTGGCACGAACACATCTCTTCAATAGCTGCAGCTGCTGGGAAAAAGCTAGGCTATTTGTTTAGGGCTAAGAAGTACTTTTCTCCGTATGACCTTCTCACTCTATACAAGGCCCAGATAAGGCCTAGCATCGAGTATTGCTCACACATTTGGGGTGCTGCCGCCACGACTACATTGTCCATGCTCGATGCTGTCCAGAGGAGGGCGGTCCGACTGATCGATGACTCTTCTCTAACAGACAGTCTCGGGACTCTTTCGCACCGGCGGGCCGTCGGCGATCTAGCTCTTTTCTATCGCTACACCAACGGGCTTTGCTCCTCAGAGCTCTCTTCCATGATGCCGCCGCGCGATGTGCCTGCCAGACAGACCCGCCTGACTTCGGCGTCCCAACCTAACCGTGTCAAACTTCGTACATCCAGAACTGGCCGATACGACCGCTCCTTTGTCCCGAGGGTGTCTAGATTGTGGAACAAACTACGGGAGGAAGCTTTTCCCAGTTCTACTAACCTTAGGCAGTTCAAAAATCGTATTAACAAAATTTCTTTGGGATCATCATAGCAGCCGCGGTGTTCCGGCATTTAGGCTTCTGCCTGCGCGGCTGTTTCGATATATAAAAAAAAAAAAAAAAAAAAAAAAAAAAAAAAAAAAAAAAAAAAAAAAAAACGGAAAATAATCCGAGGGGGCTAAATCTGGTGAATAGCGTGCATGAGGTAGCAATTCATACTTTAATTCGTTAGACAAATTGGTTAAGGCTTTCGCGGCCAGTTGATAAACTGCTGTGTTGATTCGGGTCTAAAGGGCGTCGTCGGTTGGAATTTCTTCTTAACGTTACGCTAGCATCGGAAATGGATGGACCTCTGAAGAAGCTTGCCACTCGAATCAAGACAGCAGCTTAATTCGTTAATTTTGGCCATTGAAATAACGGATTTGGAGCTGGTGCATTGTCTTGATCAAACGACACTTTCTTCTTAACCAAATGCGACTGTTTTTGCTTGATTTCATCGCTCGAACGTTGCAATAAGTTCGCATAATACTCGCCGTTGATAGTTTTACCTTTTTCAAGATAGTCAATGAAAATTATCCCAAAAAACCGACGCCATAACCTTGCCGGCAGATGAAACGGTCTTCGCCTTCTTTGGAGCCGGTTGTCCCTTTTGAGTCCATTGTTTTGATTGTTCTTTTGTCTCGGGTGCGAAGTGATGGACCCATGTTGCATCCATGGTTATGAAACGACGCAAAAATTCTGCTTTGTTGCTGCGAAACTTCGCTAAACACTCAATTGAAGCATCTTCACGACACTGTTTTTGCTCGATTGTGAGCAATCGCGGCACCCATCTTGCACACAACTTTCTCATGTCCAAATTTTCAGATAATATGCGATGAACCGCACTTTTTGAAATGCCTACTATTCGTCATTTATTTGTCTGGGCGGTCCGTAGGACCTTTGCCCATTAGTCACTGTCTGATGTACGTTAGTCGAATCTGTCAGTCCTGGTTGCCCAGAAACCGGACAAAGTCAAGGAAAAAGAGAAAGGGAAAGAGAAGAAAAAAGGAGAAGAGCAAAGAAAAACAGATATGCTTAGTTCAAGAGGAAACACCTAGGCTTTTTGACTTGGTACACGGATTAATTTTGAGGTGAACTAAACAAATTTTTGATTCGGTTTTGTTAGAGTGTAATTTTGAGTTTACTAAAGATTCACGCTAACTTTTGATTACAGTGCGAGCCGTGGCCTTGAATGTTTACGAACTTGCTCCACTGTGTAGTCCACTGAGTCACGCAACAGAGGGTTGCTGTGCGATTCCGCTTGACTATAACGTCGCTGCGCCTGAAGCTTGACATAGTCCCTCAAGTAAGGAATGTCAAGGTCTCTGTGTAGTGTCTCATTTGAGACATACCATGGAGCGTTGCAAAGTGTCCGCAAAGTTCTGCTTTGCAGTACTTGAAGACTTTGCATGTGTGTCTTGGCAAGAAAACACCAAGCCGCACATGCATAAGTAATGGCTGGTCTAATAATCATTTTATATAGTCGAACTTTGTTTATCAAACTCAATTTGGAGGATCTACATAACAAAGGATATAGTTGCCGAAACGCAATTTGGAATTATGTTTTTATGGATGCTGTATGTTTCTGCCAGGTCATGCCTTTATCAAGGGTGACACCGAGATACTTGGCAGAATTTGTCCATGGTACACGATTTCCGTCTACAGAAACCTCTGCTGGGGAGCCGCGACGTTTTTTGGTACAATAAATATCCTGCGTTTTTGAATGATTAATTTTTATCAGCCACCGTTCTGCCCACTCTAGAACTTCGTCCACCGCATTCTGCAACCCATCGTGAACCAGATCACCAGTACACGACTGTGCGACAAGTGCAGTGTCGTCAGCATAGAGGTAGACTTCACAGTTGCTAGGGGAAGGGACATCATGGATGAAAAGCGAATAAAGAATTGGTCCCGAACCCTGAGCAACACCGTCCGTACTGGCCGTGTTGTTGACAAAACATTGTTAATTTTGATCCGAAACTTCCTTCCTTCAAGAAAGGATTTCAGTAATTTTAGAAACCAAAAAGGAAAACCCTTTTGGATTAGTTTATAGAGGAGGCCCGCGTGCCACACCTTGTCAAAGGCTTTTGAGACATCCAAAAGCAAGATGCCAGTACTCATGCTAAGGGTGAACCCTCTGGTTACATGCTCCACCAGCCTGAATGCCTGTAGCTCGGTGCTATGCTCGGACCGAAAACCGAATTGGACGTCAGGAATCACATGGTGATTTGACGAAAAATTCTCAAGGTGACGATAAATCACCTTTTCGGCGAGCTTAGAAGGAGCTGACAGCAGACTTATGGGACGGTAATCCTGAGGAAATATCGAACCCACCTTCTTTGGAATCATGATGACCTCAGCAGTCTTCCACCCAGCAGGAAAGTACTGGATTTTGAGCGTCGCATTGATTATTGTCAGCAAGTATGTCAGGGCTTTCGGCGAGAGCAGCTTCAACGCCTTGTTGGTGATTTGATCCTCCCCAGGTGCTTTACGCACCTTGAGGTCTTTAATATGGCTTAGTAACTCCGCTGGTGTGCAATGTGGAAACTCGGAGGGTTCCGCTAATGTGGTATGTGGGGCCTCAGACGAATCTTCTGAAGAAGAGCCATCTGAAGAGGATTCAGTGCCTCCGCTGACGCCGTTGGCCCTAAAATATATCCTGACGGATCGTACGATGTGCTGTTCCTCGTCGAGGTCATTATCGAGCTCATAATTGGGAGAGAACTGTTTTTCCATGGCATCAGCGAAAACCTCGACCTTATCCTCCGTTCTGAAGACTATGCCTTCAGGACCGTGGATGTGTGGGAGTTGTTCTCGCTTTCCGTTTCTGAGTGACTTTGCGACCCTCCAGAGAGGAATACTTGAATCAAGCATTCCCGCCAGAAAGTCGCTCCATTGCTCGTTGCGGAGTTCGTGCAGTGCGTTTCTCACTTCATGGACAAGATTTGTAGCCCTACGAATGTCATCAGGATGACAAGACCTTTTTGCCTGCTTAATAGCGGCTCTTTTGTCAGAGATTTTCTGACGAATGTCCGCAGGCAAAAAAGGTCTGCCGTGTCGTTGTACAGGAAATACAGCTGCACGCTGTAGAGCTGCTTGAATGAAACGTGTCCACTCCGCTTGAGCGGCATCTATTCCAGACTCATCATCTATAATCGGGATATCGGGAAACTCTCTAAGGAGCAACTTGTATAGGTCCCAATCAATGCGTTTCCTTGGAGGAGTTGCCTCCTCAGAAGTTGTTTGCTCATTGCCCACATCCATGACAACAGGTAGATGGTCACTAGAGATATCATACAAGATTCGAGAAGAGATACTGTATCTACAGTTTTTAGATATCGCGAAATCGATGACATCTGGTGCCTGAAGATGGTTGAATGGATGATGTGTCGGCTCTTCAGTGCTATGTATAAGGTACCCATTTCGCATCACATGGTTGTACAGTCGAACCCCACTAGTGGAATTCAACCTAAAATTCCATGCTCGATGTTTGCAGTTGAAGTCCCCTGCCACAATAAGCGGACCCGAGTAGTCCAAAAGGACCTCCAGATCCGCCTCTTGTAGCCTGGCACCACACCTGACATATACCGATGTGATCTTCAACGAGACACCTCCCGCCATATTGACCACCACAGAAGCTGCTTCGATGCTATGCATCTCCGCATTAGTGCTTCTATAATAGTCTATACCGCGTTTAATCAATACTGCTAAACCGCCGCCTCGACCATTCAATCTGTCACCTCGGATAACATCATAATTCGGGAGAGCTAAACGATCTCCCGGATTAAGCAACGTTTCCTGCAGCAAGGCCACATCTATACCTTCATCCAAAAGAGCTTGATGAAATTCCCGTTTTTTGGGAATATCCCTCATGCCCAAACAATTCCAAAAAAGAATTTTGATGAATGCAGGCTGTCTACTATTGTACCTAGACATTTACAGGAAATATCGCCTGCAACGCTTGGGTAGCGCTAATCAGTGGGTTTATTATTTGTTGTAAGGACCTTAGCGCGGTTGCCAGGTCCACATTTTGCGTGCTCAAGGGAGGTTGGGCAGAGGGGGCAGGCAAGGTTGCCTCCCGAGCTGCGTCCGCGTATGATATATTGCGCCTTTGCGCTATAACTTGCAAGTTCCTCCTTGGAGTGAACTTGCAAGTCCGGCTATTTGCGGGATGTCCCTCTCCACAGTTCGCGCACTTGCGTTGTTCCTCTTCTGTGAGGGGGCACAAATGCGTCATGTGGTCCTTTGCACATTTTAAGCATTTGGGCAGTGCTGTGCAATATGACTGCGCATGCCCATACTTTTGGCAGCGGTGACACTGCCCAATGAGTCTGGAGTTCTTCTGAACCTCAACTCGAATGGCCAGTCCCAGCAGTTCGTGTTCGTTGAACACTTGCTGAGACTTTTCAGTCTTGGGCAGTATCACGACCACCAAAGGCATGGGCGCGCCGCCGCTGCGCTTCAATCGAATGATGTGAAGAGGGCTATATCCCCTCTGCTCCAGTTCTCCCTTAATCTCAGTACCCGAAAAGTTGACGGGAACTCCTCGAACCACCGCATGGATGTTCCGTTCCGAAGGGAGAGGAAAAGAGTGATGGGGCACTTCTTCCTCTCGGAATAGGCGAACGATCTTACGGTAGTCGTCCTTGGATTTAGGAATAATCCTTATTCCCGCATCGACAGCAACCGCGCGATCTATTTTAATACCTAGGGAAATAAACTTGAAATCTAAGGTACGCCATCTCGTCCCGTCGCGTAAAACGATCGGGGTTATGCGCCCTTGTCGTGAGGGTTGTGTTGATGCCACGACGGTTGGTCGAGATGACGGAGGAGAAGTAACATCGGCTGACGGAGTCACCTGACAGGTAGATAACGTGGTCTCTGGATTGGAAATAGAAGCATTAATAGTGTTTCGATTTGATGAATTGGGGGAGGTGTGAAATGGAATTGATCCTGTATTCGGAAGAGGAGGAAAGTCTTGGGTTGATCGATCAGCCTTGTCGTCTTTCCTCCTTCTTGATTTTGCTTTTACAAATCCTTCAGTCTGTACGTCTTCGTCTGTGGATGTGAGATGATCATCAGTAACGTTTCTCAGTGGTCTTTTTAGGGGATCTTTTGAGTTTAGTAATATGGTTACCTGGGCGGTAAGGCTGTCAATTTTGGCTGTCAGGTCCTTGATGGTCTCCATTAGGTCTCGAATCTGCCTCGCCTGGTCGTCTATAATCAGCATTAGTTTTTCGATCGTTTTCTGCTCCGATGACATCTGCGTCAGTGAGCTCATGTTTTCTGCTTCTGCTTGGTTTCCGCCACCGCTCAGCTCTTTCCTCATAGTATGTGGAACTGGGACGTCTGTTGATCCTCCTGGGTCAACTTCCATCTTTTAAAAACTTTTTCTCGCCAACAAATCTCAGAAAACTTATAGCTCGCAAATGTGACAATGTTGTCAAAACCCTTTTTACAGGGCGTTTTGAAATGCCTACTATGTCTGCTAGCTCGCGCACTTTCAGTCGACGATCATTCAGTACCGCTTTGTGAATTTTCTTCACAATTTCTGGAGTCGTCACCTCATTTGGTCGACCACTGCGATGACTCGTCTTGGCAGCTCATACGGCCTTGTTTAAACTCTGCTACCCAATATTTTACTGTTGTACACGAAAGAGCAGACTTACCCAGAGTATAATCCAGTTCAGCTTTTATGTTGGTTGGGCTGAGGCCTTTGAAATAAAAGTATTGTACCACATAACTATGACCAATTTTCTCCATTTTCACAAATTCTCTGAAAACGTTCAGTATTGATGGCTGCCAAACAAATACTAAACAACGTGTCGTCTTCAAACTTGACACATGTGCTTTATAGGTTGCATACTTCCTAATACAATGATATCAACAGCTATCGCCATCTCTAGGTCAGGCCGGGTACTTCTGGGACCACCCTCGTATACTCACATACAAAATATCTGTCTCGATGCTCACAAAATTCAATGAGTACCTTAACGACCATGAACAGCGAATATAGTTTATGGAATGGATTACTGAATATCAACAAGAGGGTGGCGATTTTTCGAGCAAAATCATCATAAGCATGAAGCACATTTTCACCTTGATGGCTTTGTTAATCGTCGAAATTGCCGTATTTGGGGTTCGGAGATTGCCACAAAGTGTCACTGTTGATTCAAAACTTGCGTTAATTTTGGGACACCCTTTATAAATCTGCCCGTTCACCTCGGTGTATTGCTATCACACCACTGACATTTTTCTATAAGTTCCTCTTCAACCGGATTGCACACAGCTTTCTCATGTCCAAATTTTCAGATAATATGCGATGAACCGCACTTTTTGAAATGCCTACTATGTCTCCTAGCTCGCGCACTTTCACTCGACGATCATTCAGTACCGGTTTGTGAATTTTCTTCACAATTTCTGGAGTCGTCACCTCATTTGGTCGGCCACTGCGATGCTCGTCTTGGCAGCTGATACGGCCTCGTTTACACTCTGCTACCCAATATTTTACTGTTGTACACGAAAGAGCAGACTTACCCAGAGTAGAATCCAGTTCAGCTTTTATATTTTTTTTGGTTGGGCTGAGGCCTTTGAAATAAAAGTATTGTACCACATAACTATGACCAATTTTCTCCATTTTCACAAATTCACTGAAAACGTTCAGTATTGATGGCTGCCAAACAAATACTAACTTCAAACTTGACACATATGCTTTATAGGTTGCATATTTTCTAATACAATGATATTTTTCAAACAACTATCGCCATCTCTAGCTCAGACCGGGTACTTCTGCGACCACCCTCGTATACTCACATACAAAATATCTGTCTCGGTGTATTGCTATCACACCACTGACATTTTTCTATAAGATTCTGTGTAACCGGATTGTCTGTGTCCATTAGTGATTGGGCCCCACGCTGATCATACAACCAAGGTATCTTCAGTGCAGGGACGGAGCTGGTTGCTCAAATTTGTCGCAGTAGGCAGGGTGTCACGCTTTAACCAACAATGTACTAAGATATATTTATAGCGCTGCTCTGGTTGGTGTCAAAGATATCAACCTGGCAGGCAACCAACCCTGTAGGAGGCAGGGGGATTTGCTGGCCTGCTTCCGGCGAGTCCACAATCTCCACAACCCGTCGATTGCGCCGTATTTGGGAGTTAGAAGCGTAACCGTCTCGGAGAAACCTGGGTTGGATGAGGTCGTGGCATTCAATACAAACACAAATGTACAGATTGGTGCAAGATTATGGTTCAAATTGTAAAAAGGTGCAAAAATCATAGAAGTTTCCGTAAATTCTCATAATAAACTCAAGCAGCGGCAACGCTGCGGTGAGCGATCTGTTCGAGAACGATCTCGATTACTTTGAACGGAATAAATACGCAAGGTGCGGCGACCGTCTACATCCAGCATCGGAAATGGAAGGATATCTGAAGAAGCTTGCCACTCGTGCTAGCGAAACGTTAGGAAGGAATTCCAACCGACGACGGATCAAGACAGCAGTTTGAAAAATGAAGCCTCTCATTGAACACGCATTTTTTACCTGGACATGTTTTTGTTTAAAATAGTGCGTTGCTTTTTATTTTTGGTTACCTTTATTAAATCGTATGTGACATGCCATTGTAGCTGATAAAAAATTTTGTTTATTTTTCAAACACCGACGATTGGTAGGAATAGTTTTAGTTATACAGGGTGCTTCAGTTTATTGTTGCATAACTTTAAGATTCGATAGAACTTTTAAAATTAATGCATAAAGTCTATATAAACATGGGTCGAAAAATGCGTGGCTTCCTAAATACAGGGTGTTTAAATTTACTTTCTAAAATAGTTTTTTTAAATATTTCGATCAATATTTGATGTATAATAGTTAAAATTGGTATACAAGGGTTTTTTGGTACGAAAAAACGAACCATGGGCATAGTTTTACTGTAGCCGCTAGAGGGCGCTCTCTACTGTACCTGAAGTGTATTAAAATGACCGACAATTTTTTCTCAGTGCAATGTTTTACTTTTTAAATAAAAAAACTAATTCTCCGCACTTTTCGACATAAAAAAGCTTTCCTGTAAGTTTTCGATATAGTTAGCCGTTTTTGAGATATTTCGATTTTTAAGGTTCGATGCATTTTTCATTATTTATGGGAAAATAATATTTTTTTTTACATTTTCGATTTGGGATTACAAGTAATTAAGATGATCGTTTAGATTGTGTTTTTAAACACAGCAATAATTCCTAACTCCAAATAAACACAAAAAACAGAATATTAATTTGTTTAATTTTCCAATATTATTTTTAACAAATTAAATTAATTATTTACAACTTAAATGCTATTGGATAGTTACGACAAACATTCAAAATCTAAAGTAGTTGCTCGAAATGTAAACCAAATTGTTCAATACACAGTTCACATCTACGAATGATCGAACGTGGTATATATCATTATTCAAATAAGGCCTTATTTCATCACATGCATTCCTGATTCTGTCTATTAGCATATCTCTTGTGGTTACGGGAGTCTGGTACACTTTTTCTTTTAGAAATCCCCACACAAAGAAATCTAATGGATTTAGGTCAGGGGCCGATCCATCTTTCTGGATAATTTTCGTCCAGCCAGTTTCTAACTATTCTCGAATAATGAGCTGGACAACCATCAAGCTGGAACCAGGCCAATCTTCTTAAATCTAACATAACATCATCCTACATATTTGCATGTTCAGCCTTTAAAAATTCCAAGAAAGTCGCAGCATTTAACCTTGCAGGCAAAAGGTAGGGTCCAAATAGTCGATTACGGTAGATACCAATCCACACGTTCAGACTAAATTCATGCTGCAAATTTCTTTCCCGAACTGCATGCGGATTTTCATGCGACCAAATATGTTGATTATGAAAATTTACCACTCCACGTCTAGTGAAGCATGACTCATCGGTCCATAAAACGTTACTTAAAAACTCCCTATTATTATCAGTTCTATCAAGAATCCACTGACAAAATGTGATTCTTCGTTCTCCGTCCCTTGGCTGTAGTCCTTGCACAGGTTGCAAATAGTAAGGACGTCTATGGTCGTTTCTAAGAACACGGTGAACATGGCTTGCTGAAATTCCCAAGGCACCAGAAACTCTCCTAACACTTGTGGTCGGATCTCTATCAAACTCACGCAGAATCATACGGGTAAATATCTGCGCTGACGAACATTTATCTTTTGATCCCTTTGGAGATTTTCAAAACCATTTTCAATTATTTGGCGATGCACTCTTACAAATACTGAGCGAGTTCGATGTCGTCGGTTTGGAAATCTTCGTGCGTATTCTCTGGCTGCTTCTGCTGCGTTTCCATTTACAAAGCCATACAGAAAATGAATATCCGCTAACTCTTGATTGGAGAATAAAAATGGCATTTTTAAAAAACTTACAAAAAAAAAACAGGTAAAAGAAACTAAATTTCGTGCATTCACAATTGCAAAAAAACGTTTCAGGTTTCAACAGACAACAAAACTAACTGTCAACTAATTGACGTTTAACCTTATTCTGCTTTCAATTTCAAAAATATTTGCAGCCACAGCCTACTTCTAAAAATTATCGAGATACTGACTTTTTAACGTTATTTTATCATAAATAATTAAAAATGCATCGAACCTTAAAAATCGAAA